GGAATCCATCTTACCGACCTCAAAGTTTGGCATCTACGAATTCCTTCATTCTGTTTTTAACAACACTCTGTTGTAGACTTTTCCCGGTAATGATAGTAGAGTGATGCCTCTATAGTTCTCATACTTATTGATATCTCTTTTCTTTGGTGCTTTGATGATGTGCCTTTCTTTACAGGTTGTTAGCATAGTGTTGCATAATCAAAGAAAATTATGTAACATTGTATCTTACCAAGTGTTTGGCTAATATTTTCAACAGTAGGATTCTTTATACATTTCGGCAATCGAGTTTTAATCTTTGTTCATCTTATGTTTCAGTCATTAAGTTATAATGCCGTGGATAACATTTTGAACATATCTAACTTTTATTACAAAACTCAGCACCTTGGTTTTACTTATAAAATCCCTTCAGGCAAAATGATAGCACATATTTCATTCTCCAATGTAGCATTTGAACCGATCGTTCATCTCTGAATCATTTTGTCATGCATATAAATTCAGAGAAATAAAGAAAATAAACATTGTACTCTTTTTATATCTGGCTATCTCTCTAGAGCGCCAATATTTTACGTATGATATGTTATTACTAACTAAAAAAATGGTCATACGGTTTATTCAAGAAATTAGTTTTTTTTAATATTGTCATTTTTATTTGTGTATTTAAACAACATGATTGAGTTTAAGTGAGTTAACTAAACAAATCTGTAGATTTAAGTTACTGTTTATATAACTTGAAATACATAAATTTCATACTGAATTCAGTATTCAATAATTTATTGTTGAAAAGCCATCACCGGTTATAAGTGGAGAACACTATATTCAGATAAATGGTTGTCATTTGTTTCATCAATTTGGTGGTCTGAAGTTGTGATTATGGATATTTTTTTTTGTAAAATGAAATGAAAAGAGAAAATTCATGAAAATTGTAATATTTCAAGAAAAAAGCAATGATTCATCAGCCAAGATACATTTGCGATGTCAGTGAAATCAATCGCTTTGATCGGAAACACTTATCAGTAAGTAATGAGGTAGATAGTTGTAAGCCACGTTTTAATTTTAAGTATATATTTGTCTTCACTTTATACTATACCAATAAATTTGAATTATTAGATTTAGGTCAGTAATGCAATGTTTGTCGCTTGTGATGTTAAATTCATGTGAAACACTTCTCCGCTTACTGTTAGTCTGAAATCTGGATGAATGAAGAGAATCAGGCGTGAGTTTAGCAATCACATCACATGGAAAACAATCTTATCAAATAAACGCTTACAAGATAAAAATCATTTGAATCGTTTAAAATCTATCCTGAGCGTTGAAGAGTCTTCGTTTATAGGAGTTGTAATACCTTATGGTGAAAGATGAGATTCTTCAGAAATCACGAGGTCGATGCCACTTCTGACAACCGGAGCAACAATTCATATAAGTACAGGGAATGTCTGCACAATGTGGGAGACTATGGGGGCCATACAAGTAGATGTAATCGCTTAGTAATTTCTATAGTTTATAATTTGTAATAAAATCAATCTATAGATGGTAAGGTAGAAAAACTGTTTATCATTTATAAATACACCGTTTCAGTTAACTGCATTTTATAACAACCAACTGAGCAAAAGTCATCAACGGGAAATTTTTTTTAAATGAATAGGGAAAAAGAAATAAGAATACAGTAAAAATGCTATGTGTTTAGGGTTTAGAGGGTGAAAAACTGGAAAGCGGACTCAACGATCAGAAAAAGAAGAACTTTAATTTCACTGCAAATACTATCTGAAAATGAACATTATGTGAGATAAGTAGTGATTTTTACAACACATTCACATTTAATCTACATATCCTCATTTTATTCAACATAGTGTTATGCACATCTATCAAATAGTTTTTTATTTACACATAACATACTTATAATTAATTTCTGTGATTATTAAAAAGTAAATAACAGGTTAGATCAAGTTAGTTTTAACTGGAAACATCAAGTTTCATCTAAACATCTCCTTCTTGAAGACGAGAACTATTTTATATTAAGATCTGACTGCTATTTATTTATTTGGTGTATTAACTATCAAAGAAATTAAATACTAGTACGAAATCAATATTAGGATTGATTGATTTACTTATTAATCCACTAATGAGCTCGGTATTTTCGAACGCCTCATAATCAATTAACTAGTAAACTGTAGTTTTTTCCTAAACTACATTATGCTTTTTAACATAGAATCAATTCTTTTTACTTTAAAAGCAACTTATAAACCTTTTACTTGTTGCTTGCATTAATAAAATGAATTTACGTTTTTTCATTACGTTTCAGACAAAGGACTAAGACATAGGCCATTTTAAGTTACATTTCCCTTGCTATTAATAAAATATGAACGTAAGTTTCACTTATAAGCTATTTTTTTATTCGATTGTATATGTTAATCTATATAACTTTCAGTCCGCCTCTTCTCTTTATTTTCCAAACATTCAAACACTTTTGTTTCAAAAAAATAAAATATTGCTCTCTTTAGCATTCTTGATGAAATTCTATCTTCATTTATTAAAACCGACTTATTGATCATTTATCGTTCAGATATTTTCCGTAAAGTTTATTTAACACGTACTTACATAACTGAAACTATCATATTTTATCTTAGCATTGAATTATCAACTTTAATTATTTACAGGTATTTGACTGCATCCAAGTACGCTAAAATTTTAATAAGAATATGACAACCTATTGTGAAGAGTTAACAATAAAGAAGACAGTCACATAATCTTGTTCGAATAGTCATACTTGTTTTATTCACATTTGTAAAGAGAACCAACTGTATGAAACCTTCCATCTACTAATAATGTTTTTAGGTAATTAGCTCAAATTGTAATATCTTTCTGTGCAGAAAAATTACCAATCATATGCTTATATTAGACGAAAATAATCACATAGAACTTAATAAATCGTAAGAGTTAATTTTAAAGTGAGTTTAAAGTAAAAACAAAAACTGATATGTAATTAAGAAAGTAATCCTTTTAGTCTGATTATTTAATGAGATCTGCAAAAACGAAACAAACTATTTAATCAGTGTCTGTTTATTCTTCCAGATTATCATTGAAAAGACTAAGGCCATGATTTCACATAGACCTAAACGTTGCTCGAATGATTACATCACATCCCATTGCATTTATCAATTTACATGTTTATGTGGACAAACATACATAGGGAGGAGTAATCGGATTTTACAATCAAGGGTTATGGCACACACAATCAAGGGTTATCAACCATGTACCTGAGTGGCTTCAAAATCAGTTAACGTGGGAAATAGGAAACCATGTTCATCGATCGCAAAACACATAATTGAGACAGGGCATAAGATTGACATCAAGACAGCCGTCAAAACATTGCATAGAAATGTTGAAGGACTAATTTTGAGGTTTATGGATTCCTTGGCTATTCGAAAATTAAAACCCCCATTATGCGCGCAGAATCAATTTGTCATAACCTTGAATTTTCTTTGGTAATCTTTAAGCCTAGGGTAATGTGACAGTTTTCCTACCCTTTCTTATTCTTTTCATATTACGTTAATTTTCTCTCTCCTTTATTTACAATTATCACCTTATGCCTATTTGAACTTTTATTTAATTGACCTTTCATTAATCTTCATATAAAATGCCTTGACAAGTAAATATGTGTGACCAGATTGTTCGAAATGTATAGCGCAAATGCATCACATTTTTCAGATCAACTGTACGTCTTCTCACTGTTCTATCAAAATTTTTAAAAGGGACTAATTGTTTTAAATCTTCCAGATAACTTATGACTTATAAAATGGTTCATCATTATGACTTTTTCATAGCTTGTAAAGTTGATGGCTCGTTTAATTAAAATGATTTCAACTACATGAAAAACTTGACAAACGATATTTGATAAAAATTTCGAATGAATTGTTAATTTTCTTGTCGACGTGAACAATAAAATTCAGCAAAAAAAAGTCAGAATCAAACAAGCGGAGATCAACAAAACATGGGTTTATTAGTCGAAGTAACAAATGGAAAGTAATATTGTCTAGATGTTCTTCAGTCAGAACTATTATAAAATAATCATAATATTTGTTTGGATTTGTAATATGACCACCCGTTTTACTGTATATAAGCAAATTAACGCAGTATCTCGCAAGCATGCATCTTCAATTTAATTTAGTCTATATAAAAAATATATATGTTTAAAAAGTGTATGTTAATTCCTACCTCTTAGATAATAAAGATTTGCCGATTTTTCCACACACGCATGAGGCGAATTTCGAAATTAATTCTAAATTACAATCAGAGAAGAATGGTAACAAGCATGGGAATCCATGAAGTGTATTTTGCCCCACTCAGAACTCGTTAGCTGGATATACTTATATATCAGAGCTGATCTTCACTCTGAGACTAGAATCCAGTATCTTTCTTTTCAGACGCCATTGCGTTCTCCACTTAACTAATGAGTCCAGATAGCCTTTGGTTTATGCAATGGGGTGAAGTTTAACATACTTATATCGTCAGTTTGAATCTTCCCATTGATAAGTGGGATTGTCAGTGTCTCGTAGATTTTATTAATAAAATAGTACATTGGCTTATAATGTTTAAGTTTACATATTAACTATAAACTGGTGGAACGTCTCTTCCATGTGACCTGATAACTGAAATACGCTCTGTTCTTTAAAAGCTTTACTTATTCACACTATTAGCTGTAATGTATTTCTACGTGGTAAGCTAAGTGTATACATCAGTTTTTAGAACTGTCCACTATTCATTTTTAATACTCAAAGCAATATAGTAGTAAATTATAAAATATATGGATAGTTTTCAATAAAGTGACCATTGTCAAAACAATGTTTCTAATATCAGTTTATTTTATTCAACAACAGCTGATAGTGATAGGGTCCGACTGAAAATTATATTTCCCTATACATTCAGTCTTTGATATTAAAATTTTTTAATTATGCAACACTAGCGCATAAAATGTTAACTAAACTATGCAGTGAATTACTTACATGATACATTATATCGTACACCATCAGAACGCACTTTACTCGACTTGATTCCAGTACTTGTAACTTCACAGAAAAAAGAAGCACCATTGTCTTCTTCACTCAATGTGACAACAAACTCTTGAGCTACTTCTTTACGCATATTTACAAAAGAATTCGACGGACTAAGATATCTTGTCTTAGTTTGAATAACTGTTGCCTTAGATTCATCAAATCGTTGACGTAAAAGTGATAATTTTGAAAGTGCATTACCAGGCTCAGCAGTACATTTAATTTCAAGTGTGGTACCAACTTGAACAAAATAATCTGGAGATAAATTTGTAGCCAAACGAACAGATGTAGATGGATCTATCAGCGAAAAGATAAAATATAGTTCATGAAAATTAATCCAAAGCATAAAGTGAATATTGTATAAACAGAGAAAGGAAAAATAACTAAATGTTATAATATTACAAAATTCTTAGCTTCATTTGATCGAAATTCAAAATATGTAGTTACTCGGTTTGATTTTGATGAAGATATTTTCGAAGTATATTAGTAGAATGCAATGAAGACACAGTTAAAAGTTTTGTGTTTTGATGTTTCATCTTTACTCTGACAACATATTCTAAAATATATTACATAATTATTCAGAATAAAATTTTCAGACAATTTCCATTTGTTTTATTATGTAGTCTATGCGAGTGTTTGACATTTCATGGAACTTTGCAACTGTATAAAATGTCAATCGATAAACTTGATAGATGTGTAAGTGAATCAACTGGTGAATTTTCGTCTGTATAATTTTCTCTGTAAGCATCATTTTTTTTTCCTAATGAAACAATAAAAATCATCATGCAAACATATTCGTGATCGAATCTGACACCATATAAATTATTGGATCAAGCTTCAACTGATGTATATTTATGGCCTTATTCAAATGAATTAACTTTAAATATCATTCTGTTCAGTGTTTTTGAATTAAAACATTTTGTAAATACCACTTTGAAATTGAATATAGGCTTAATAATATTATCAAAAACAATTTATCTGACACGTAGTAAAATATTCAAACGATGAGGAGTGAAAATCGTTCAGAGAGCTCATAAATTCTAATGCTGATGAAAATATACTGCCTTGTGATACTAGATGAATAAATCAAAAATTAAAGGCTATCACTGATTATTTTTTCATGTGTGTTTGTTGAGGTTAGAATAACTAAATGATAGTGCCATTTAGTTATTACTAAAAAGAACCTAAATCAATTGATCAGATCAGCCATTACAAAAGTGGTACGAAACATGGCTTTGAAGCCATTTTTTGAAAAATAAGAATTTGTATCATTTACGACACGTTAGTACGTTATAAAATTCAATAATCTTCCTACTAATATTTCTGATTATTTAACTAATAAGTTGTGTCCAATTCTTTTTACGTATTTAAATAATAATAAACTGCATAATGTTTTAAAGACATTACTAATAATAACAGAAATAAGTTTATACAAAGAATCACATTTGTCCTTCGCAATATATGGTTCATTTATTTTGCTAAATAATTATGTATTTCTTTCGAATCAATTAAAACAAAGATTATGAGAATTCATAAACATTAGTTATACAGGATTATTGAAATCATTGTTACCGTATTCTTTCATATTTACAAGGTTTAAATCAAGTGAACAATTAGCTAGGCAATTTATGTACAATTTCAATATCAAAGGATTTTTTGATATGCACGATAAGTGGATATTCTCCACAAAATATTCTTAAACCACGAGTCATTTCTTATGTAATTTCTTGTGTTTACTGTTGATAAAAAACGAAACCTGACAATAAATGCATCTCTAACTTCAAATAGTTAATTCTACTGATTAACTCTTATAAAAGAAGAATAGTAACAGTTCTGAACAACGTTTGTGACGTTACATAAACAATGAAATTATTGCTTTGGGTAAAAGCGGATTCGTTTTAAAATTAGACTCAAAGATGCAGAATAACATCTTAGAAGTTGAAAATATTGACCTTTTTTAATCAATCAATATATAACAATCCGATTTTGGAATATTAACTTAAAAGAGTCATTTTTATGTCGTAAACTGACCACAAGTTCAAATAAATCTCTGAAAATTAATGACATGTCAAAAATTTAAGTACTTATATGAACGTAGGATAAAAAATGAGTAATTTGTGTAAGTGTATGTAAGAAAAATATATATTAATAAGTTTTATATTTTCTGGTTGATAAAACGGTTTCCCCAAATCACATTTCATTAGTAAACTTACAATAACCATCGTAATCAACTTGTCTTTTATCACGACGTTGTTGTTTCCCTGTTATTTGACAATCTAGTTTTCTTTTGCTTATTATGAGATCAGTGAATTTTTCCAGTTTTGGTGTAAATGAATCTATTCGTTTATCATGTAAGAGTGAATCAACTTCATTTGTCTCATTGAGCTCTGATTGATTGGGTGAATTTAGTGCTAACTTCCAAGTGATTTTTGCAACGTTCATAACATTTTCCTTGTGTGCATTTGAAGTATTCTTGTGTGATTCTGTATTATTAGTAACGTTTGTAAAAGGTACATAATCACATTCAACTTGAACTGGTGTATTTTGAGGGATGGAAGTATGCAAATTAGTTTGAACTTTAGAATGCTGCAAATCTAGAAGAATGAAACAAATTTATTATAAAATGAAAAAAAGAACAGTTTCAATTAGAGCTATGGAGGTTATTGTTTTTACACATTTGAAATCATCAATCAATCATTTTTAGACCACCATTAGAAGCCTGTAAGCACTGGACGGCAATCTAGTAGAAATAGAACAGATTTGACGGTCTGTTGACATTCTAACCGTGCATAAAAAACTCTGGGTATATTGTGTAATAAGTTTTATTTTGTTCATCTTGTTTATTTATAAATTCTGTAATTATTTTGTCATCTGGAAAAAAAATACTTCTGATCTTATTTTTCGAATTCCTGTTCATAAATTTTATTTCAGCTGGTGCATGAATCTAAATCGGATTGATCAAATACATGTTTTAAAACTAATAATTTCAAATTATAAGTAAACTTTTATATCTAGTGGTTTTCTGATTAGTACATCATCATTTTATATCGTGACGTGTTAATTATCAAACAGAATTTTAATTAAAATTTTATTACCACGCATATGTGAATCCTCTCTGTGTGTATATTTCTCAATATTCAAAAAATTATTAACTACCGAATACTACTACAGTTGAGTTCTGATGTTTAATTGATAGTTATAATCTCGTACTAGCCTTCAACACAATAAAAACTAATAAGAACTTTATTTTGTTCGAAATTCGAATTTAATTTACAATATCAATTTTCAAACATATGCAGAATGGTTACGATATCCAGGTTTCGGAGGCTCAGTTTACATTGGAACATATAACAATGGTATAATTAAAGGTTGTATGAGATTGTCTAATTAGTATTCTCTTGTTTCTTCATTTTCACATCATTGTATTATTTTTTCTAAATAATTAATCAACCTTTAAACAACCACTGAATGAAATGCATAAATCCATTGATGCTTATTCAATTTAATTAATTTTAACTGAGAAACAAACTAATTAGATTTGGTGAAGTTTTAATTTTTCCAAAAGATGCACAATCATAATTAGTTATCATTGAAAGTATATAACAATCCATTTGTTAAAAATCTAATTTGATTTCTGTGTAAACCTGGAATGCTAAAAATAAGTATAATAATTTAAAGGGCTTTTTCTAAAATAGCATACTTCATGAAATGATCAGTTTATGTATTAATCCAAAATGGTAAGATTATGGATTTAACATAAAACTATCGTTGTCTGATGGACATTGATAAAAAAATTCTTATGTCTTACGTTTAGCGTTTCATTCACTTTTTGATCTTGATTTTTCAACGTTGATTATTGGCATTTTATTAAACATGAAAAAAGCAAATGTAGTACGGTTTTAATAAGGTAATAGTTAATTAGCTCAATATGGCACTGTAGCTTTCTTACACATTTGAAATCATTAATCAATCATCATTGTTAGACCACCATTAGAAACCTGGAAGCACTGGACGGCCGTTTCGTCCTAGTATGGGACTCCTCAGCAGTGCGCATCCACGACTCCTGCTCCTCGCAGGATTCGAACCCGGGACCTTTGGCATTGTAGGCGAACGCCTTAACATCGGACCACTGGGCCGGCATCCAACGGTGTTAATGTCTAACTCTGATTGATCTAGGGATTGTACGCGACCTCACCCATTTGTCTTTGGTAGTTACTGCCTACACCCGACAGGGTTGAACTCCACTGGTCACGTCTTCTCAACTAGAACTCCGAGAGTTTCCTCACGAAGCTAGTCACTAGTGAGCACTGTTACATTATATTGGGGCACAGTTTTGGAGGTTTGCGTTTTTACACATCTGTAGCTTTCATTGTCTATTATAACTTACACATGTGTTCACATAAAAAAGCATAAACATGCAACACCATAATGCTAATACAAACATTCATAATACCAATAAAAATATAGGTTTCAGTATGATGTTGTGCACATTATGAACGATGCTTGTTTTTATACTGAAGATTAGTGAATCTTAGACATTTTCTAAATGCTATAACCCTGCAAATGAATATTCATCAATCAATAACTATCAATGGCAGAGCATAGAATATTAAAAGCACTGTAGTTTTACAGGTAGTAAAGGATAGAGTAGTTTCGGCTGAAAGAATTTTTTGCACCATGATCGTTTGATAATCAAAAACGATCATTCTATTGGGATTACAAATCAACATAAGTTGAAGTATGACTGAAAGATAAGAAATACTGAACAGCTATTTAGTGATAGCATGAAACTCAGCAGTGTGCGAACAAGTCCCTCTTTCTGGGGATTAAACTTAGGTCCTACTAACCATAGCAAAAGCTTTTTTCAAGCATTTGAGGCATACCATAGTGAAGCTTGTAAAATAAATATATATATAAATACGTGTATATAATTGTAATAAATCTGAAATTCTGTAGCATACCAAAGTTACTTTAATACAGTCTCGGGAAAATATAGTTTGTCAGTGTTAATAGTAGAAACCGTAAAGATGTAAAATGCAATGAATTTACAACATCACCGTAAACGTACATCTTTCCTCTTTACTTTTCATCATAACACACATACATATCAGTTTATGTAGACAGATATTCATATATACAAAAAAAGACTAAGCAATTTCTAAAACTAATTATTATCAATATTTTTTTATTGCTAGTAAGTAAATCTTTAAGAAAAAATCAGTCTGTAAAAGTTGTATATCAGTATAGTATTGTCTACTCTAGGACATAAATACATGCATACATGCATATTTTACTCAAAAAGAAAGATAAATTTGTTTGAAAAGCAAAAAAAAAATCACTCGTAACTCGTCTGAAATAGTTAAATGAAAAATTTCATAGCAGAAAATTTGCTTCATTTTAAAAAGATATCTTTTATGCTTTATTTTTTTCTAAATATAAAAAAAAACGTTAACTTTATTACTTTGAAAATTAGGTGAGAAAAGGGTGGATGGATATTGGTTCAAGAAGAAAGTTTTAACTATCGCATAAAAAAATAAAATAAAATAAGACATATAATTTTTCTTCATGTAATTTTATTTTAAAGTAGTTGTAATTTCTTTGTTAACAAAAGGTAAACCAATGTATGTTATATTTTTCTGTAATAGTAAGGTGCAATGAAACAACTGAATATATATATATATATATATATATATATATATATATATATATTTAATATTCGAAGAGAAATAGATATGATCATGAAACTGACTTTTTTCTGCTTGTCCAAAAGTCTGATAACAGTATGGAAATGGAAATGTGGAAGGAACAAAAAGCCAGATCATAGACTTGGTTTACCAGGAAAACTCTAAAATGGTCGAAAGCTATGGTAAATAGACAAGTACATATGTGTATTGTTTGGTATAAATTAGAAAGATAGGTTCGAGTGACTTTAACATCAGAGGAAGATTGTTATGGTGTTTCGTTCTCTGAGCTGGATGTTTCGGTTGTGGAGCTTTCACTGTTTTTATGAACAACATCATCAGCACAAACGTCAGGTAGAAGTGAAGTATTCGGTTTTCTCCATGTTTAACCTGTAGCTGGTTCTGTTAACCTCGATCTTGATTAGTTGTTGTTGACCTTAAATCTGTCGTTGTTTGCACCTTTGTTTTGATTGTATCCCTACGATTTTGTTGAAAGAGTAAGAGAGACAGAACGAAACACCACAAAAAGCATCCACCTGAGGTACCGATTTTCTCCACTATCTCATAAGAGGAAGACTAAGTAGATGGTTATCATTGTTAAATTTAAAGCGAATGAAATGAATTCACTGGATGCATCAATGTCAAGTTTAGTTATTTTCATAAATGTTCAATGTTTATAAGTGGGATTTTCAAATATGGACAACTTATAAAATTATATAAACTACATCATTCAGATTTATAAATGATATCATCATGCTTTCAAAGTTTCAGACCATTTGAAAATATATAGCAGATAAACATATTCTAACTTTCAATAAATGAAGTTTGGTTACGTTACTTATTATTTGTAGCTGAAAAACATTATTTGACATACGTATACACTCTTGCTGTGACCAAGAAATACGATTAAAATAAAACTCTGCCCAAAAATATCGTAACAGTGCTCACTAGTGACTAGCTTCGAGAGGAAATCCTTGGAGTTCTAGTTGAGAAGACGTGACGAGTGGAGTTCAACCCTGTTGTGTGTAGGCAGTAACTACCAAAGACAAATGGGTGAGGTCGCGCTTAATCCTTAGATCAATCAGAGCTAGACATTAACACCGTTAGATGCCGGCCCAGTGGTCCGATGTTAAGGCGTTCGCGCACAATACCGAAGGTCCCGGGTTCGAATCCTGAGAGGTGCAGGAATCGTGGATGCGCACTGCTGATGAGTCCCATACCAGGACGAAACGGCCGTTCAGTGCTTCCAGGTTTCTAATAGTGGTCTAACAATGATTGATTGATTATTTCAAATGTGTAAAAACACAAACCTCCAAAACTCTGCCTGAAAACTAAATAAAAAGGCGCTTCCAATTATTAGAATTTTAGAAAAATACAAACAGAGCGCAAAAATATTTTCTGTTAACCAGTTTTACTGCTCTTTAGATTTCCTTCAACCCTCGAATATTGAAAAGTCTCTGTTTTATTTTTAATTTAAACATTTACAAATTATTTAAAAAGTAAAGTATTTCATAAAGAATCTATATTTACAGATAAAAAGAAAAGCATCCATCAATCATTACATTTTGTATAATGAATGTTTTACGGACAGTAGAATGTAATGCAAGCGAGGCTATTTATAATCTAACATAAGAAATCACTAGAAAAGGATTTGAAAATTTTTCAATTGACAAATGAACGAAAATCACCACTTCACTTGCGTGCATTTATTTTGCGTGATACAAAAGAATATGAAACAGTCTAGATTATTGTAATCGTTATATAATGAGTTTATAATCATGAGGCATTACCTTCTGTTTTATGGTACATTTACAGTCACATCATCAATCTCAGTGAAATCATAAGTCAACTCTCGGTTTGACTCCTGCTTGCGAGGTCATGCATGCACACTGCTGGTGAGTTCCATACTAGGACGAAACGGTCGTATAATACTTTTAGATTTTTAACACAAGTCTAACATTGATCAGTTTGTGATTTCGAAGAAACTGAACAATCTCCATAACCTTGTAATAACAGCATTAATTACCAGTAATCATTGAAATACAATGTTTTTTCAGCATAATTATCTGATTTTAAAATTGTACATCTGTTCAATTTTAATTAAATTTTGTTAGTTTGCACTAATACATATAAATGGCATATCAAACAGTTACAAATGACATTTCGTTTTCGACCGTATATTGTACAATATTTGAAATCAATTACTAGGTAGTTTCTAGGGTTATATTAAGTACTTTTTATTGAAGTTTTCTAATATCATATTACCTAATCTGATGAATATTTCTGTACTTTCGAAGCCAGTTATGGTACAGTATTCTTTTTACATGAAAATTTAAATTACCTTATTTTTCAGACTAATTGTTTTTATAATGTCGAATTATGATATTAATATTCAGCATTTCTCAACAGTACTAAAAACACTTGGAAAATCATACTGATTATCAGTTTATATGATTGATAAATGTTGGAGTTTATGATTGAAGAGAAAATCTTTGTAAAAACATGACTTCTTTGGTAAAAGGAACTAGAAATCTTATCGAATAAAAACGAAAACTTCTATTCGGTGTCGAATTAAACCATAGTTTAATTTCCAGCCAACTGTTTATGAAGCCAAAATTAATTAGTTTTCACAGTTGGAAAACATCGACTAGATTTGTATTTTTTTCAAAAAATATTAAGTGGTGTATTACAACTGACTGTTGAGAGCTTAAAACTCATTGTTTTCTTTGTATAAGTGACCTAGGTATATGCCATTTGTTCTTTCCATACTTAAACAAAATACGGAGAAGTGAACGACGAGCAATAACTCAAACGGACGATAATTATAACAAAATATTATCCGTTCACTAATACTACATACATTTTGTTTGATTGGGAAAAAAAATGTTTTTAGGAGATTCCCAAAAATCCTAAAAATCACGATATTCAGTTTTTGTGTTTTTACCAGTTCATTAATCTTATCGTGTACTACTGACACAAAATATATAAACATATAATTTTGAACCTCATTAGTAAACATGCTTGAACTATATAATGAGAATAATAAATTTATCACTGTTTGTAATAATTAATGAATTGATATATTTTCGTATTTTTTCCTGGCGTCAAGCACTTCGACATCATGTACTTTACATCCGTTCTTTGTTCAATTTCTTCTGTATGCGTATATACATATATTGCTTAATTTGATGCAAAAATGTTTTGTTTAACCAACAACTAGTTTAAAACGACTAATTCACTGCAAATACTGTATAGTACAACAATGTGAATGATTCATTAAACCATGCAACGCATTGGTTGAGAAGTATTTTTAGAACAGAAGCATTCTACTGAATTGTGTTATTCTTTTATCGATGTAATTTGTATGACTACTAATAATTTTTTTTATTGAAAAGAATAAAGCATACAACGTTAAACCTTGTGTATGTGACAAACTATAATGTAAAACAAACTTTCAGATAAGATTTATCATGTTAGCGATAAATATCATCTCTATCAACCAGCAATGTTCAATATTTGAAAATAATAATTTCATGATTTGAAAAAATTTTACTCTGAAAACAGTAATCTATTGTTTTGGAGTTAAAATAACTTGAAGAAAAAATTCCACTTTTATTTATAACAATTGTAATTTGTATATTCCAGTAAGATCATCCATAACGCATAGGTCAAATTATGAAGCCTGGTGAAAGTTGCATTGTTATTAGAGATTTTTTTTTATCTGAAATTCTCATTATTTTTCGAAAATTATTATTTCAACGGAATTACTAATATTACATCTACATCATTCTGTCTACGATAAGATATTAAAAATGAATTATAATGTAATTGTTGAAATATTTAATGAACAAACATGAGTAATCTTAGGGACGTTATAAACAATGAATGTTCAGACTTATTGACTCAGAATGAAAAAAAAGCCTTACTAACGAGTCTCAATTTGCATAACACCTGTATTTGATTTCTTGGTAAAGGACTCAAATGATCGACACTGTAATATACATACAACCAATAATGTTGGATACGTTTCCGTTTCGATCGATAAGATTTAATCAATAGTGAGGACTCAAAATCATAGTTCTGATTAATTTTAAGTGATTAGTGTGTGCTAACAGTAATTAAAACTGACAAACATAATTACTTAATTAAAAAGTTCAGCTTGTAAAAAGTTAATTCACTGTCTTCTAACATCATATTAAGTGAATATGATTTCCAAAATATTGCCAATATAAAATGTAGTTGAGCTAGTCATTAGAAAAATTCAATTTTCAGTTAGTGATTTTATTCAGTTTCATTCTTATTTCAAAGTGCATATTATTCATTGGTGAATAATCTTCAAGTATGGTAAATAACTACAGCAGCAGAGCTTCTGAAAGCTGTAAAATATTAAAGTTGTTTGGGATAACTACATCAGGAGCATAAATATCAATCACAAAACTGATATTACTCATATATTCAGTTATATCTTGGAAAACAGTTAATAGTGGAATTATGAAAGAATAGTTTTGCCCTATTGATAGTCCACAGTTAATTGTACCTTTATATCAATGTGTTTTCTCAATAATACTAAACATTAACCTTACAGCTAATGAGTCATAGGCATAATCAACCTGTTCAACATCTATGAGTGGGAAACTTGTGTTACATTACTAGACACGATCGTAATCATACAACCAGCTGGTGAACTCAAGCAATTTGGAAACATTCTCTGTAGTAGAGCATTTTTCCAACAATTGCTTATCAAAGTAATGTTGTCAACAACTTTTTTTAAAGAAAAAGAACTTACCTGAAACAATGAGCTTATGAACTTTACTCGATTTATCATCCGAATGACATATCCAACTTCCATTAAAACGATTATCTACTTTATGAATTGTATATCGGAAAATATCTATCTGACTATACGGAAAATCATAAAATTCCTTCATTTCATGATATTTATTTACATTTTCTTGATAAAATGAAAAATGATTACAACTGATACCATACAAATTGTGTTGGTTGTTTATTGATGCACAATCAGGAAAATATAGCCGTTTTAAATGAATGTTTACAGTTCGTTGATGGATAGGTTGTTCAATAAGATTATGTAGTTCATTTCCGTACCGGTATTTTATATTGAAAACTATACAATCCATTATAATCATAGAACGGGTTTTAACATAATGATGTTGTTTAGATGAATTTTGTAGATTAATCATCGATTGAATGATTCTTGAAAGAACTTGATGAATAAGTAAATTATTATTTCCTGTTTTGATATCTAACCAAACAATGGTATGATTTTGTTCACTGTGAAGTGTATCTGCAAAAAGAACAATATATCAGGTTTATAGCTTCAAACATCTTGAAACTAGTGAAACTGATCATTACGTTATGAGAAATAATTCAGTATTATTTTACACTACTCAATTACGGGATATGCGTCAGTTGATTAATTGTACACAGCACATTGTGGAGTGAATATTTGTGTTGAAATCGAAATGGTTTCGTGTTATGTTGCTGAATCAAAAAGATTTTACTACTGAACCATTTTAAGTTACATCACTTCTTATTCAGTTGTTATCGAATAGAAATCTGTTTCAAGAAGTAACGCTGATGATAGATATTTGTAATTTAATTAATAATGAAATATGGAAATTCTACAAAAATAATTATTTTCATACCTATATGAAATGTTTTAGAGAGAGATGAAGTAATCTAATGTTGTATATATACATATATATATATATATATATATATATATATATATATATATATATATGTCGAAATGCCTATTCAAGTAAATAATATAATTTAAAAGTTAAAATTAAATCTGTTCTATATTTTATTGTATGTAACTATACACCCTTTATTTTATTCACTTATACTCTGTATATTAAAATTCAATGAAGGAAGACACCAAATATTAAAAATGAAATAAAACAAAATTTCCTTCCGTAAGAGATCACTGAACTACAATTTTTCAGCTTATTTACACATAAATGTACAGATTGTTCGTTTGGTGGTATTAGCTATTGGTCAACGAAAGAAATTACTTTCTCGTAAATGCACCAGATATGATTAGTATGTTTCTGTTTGCCAGTCAAGGAGAAATTCTATCAACAAATAATTTTTTAAGGATCTTTGATACAGTGTTGTTTTTTCTTTAGTTTATACACTTAAAATGCACGGATTTTTGATTAATGAAGTCTTATGGAATTTAATGTGTGCAACACGAATAGATGAAGCTAAAAAATGTAACAATCCAGGTATTTTGATGATTTATATATTCATTCATGCTCACCGAAAAAACAAAGGCTTATTGCGATATTTTAATCCAAAATATCTAGCAAATAATAAAAGATTATTTCTTGTTTGAAGAATAATAGTACGTGGTATTCCGACAATAGTGAATTAGTACTACTACTACAAATACTGAAATATGTTCCTTTTTTTAAAGCTATATTTAAAATAATGTACATCTTATTTTCAACACTTTTTCTACGTTTCATATTCAATTGCTTTATTGAAAATGATAATTTCAAAAAAAAATGTTCTAGCTAAAATATTACATTTACTTCCTTTCCATCCTTCGGTCTTATAGTATGCTGGTTTGCTAACTTTATTATTTATTAGTAAAAAGAAAAACTGAATAATTAGTGTATCTATGTAATTCGGTTAAGAAGGCTGTAGTGTATTGTTTGAATGAATGCAAGTTTTACATGTATCAATGAGTTTTAAACTTATTCTTGTAGTTGAATTTAGCATCCTAGCATGGATCATTAAGTCTCAACTCAATGATTATTACGTATTGTGCCCTGGTTGTTCGGTTAAGGATATTGCGCTATCAAATAGCATACAACTAGAACCAAACATCGGTCTATAACCCCATGATTGTCTATGCCTTTGTGACCAACAGCAGCTAATGCTAAATAATATCTTACGTATCTCAATGAGATAAACAATAGAGATTTGTAGAGTACATCAAACATGAGTTTGGCAGCTTGTAATACGATTCAGTACTTAATGTTAGTTTGGATGCTTTTATAAGAGAATATGACCAGTGTAGCAGCAACCTCAGCAGCAGTAGGTTTCAACATACATAAAGGGTCAAGCAAGATTCTCCAATACAACGCAACATGCGCCAACTAAATCACACTTGATGGAGATGACTAGGAGTATGTAAAAAAAACCTTTACATATCTCGGTAGCATCATCGACAATCAAGGTGGATCCAATGCAGACGTGAGAGCGCGGATCGGAAAAGCAAGGGCTTCATTTCTACAATTAAAAATATCTGGAACTCAAAACCACCAACACCGAAATCAGAATTTTCGATACAAATGTCAAGACATTTCTAATGTAGAACTGAATAACTACAAAATCTATCATCCAGAAATCACACAAGTATTCATTAACAGTTGTCTACGCAAAATAATTCGGATTCGTTGGCCAGAAACTATCAGCAACAACTTACTGTGGGAGAGAACAAACCGGATTCCAGTGGAGGAGGAAATCAGGTAGAAGCGATGGAAGTGGATAGGACACACACTGCAGAAAGTTTAGCGGCTCACTACTGGACTTCAGTGTGGACGAATGATCGAGTGCACAGTGAAATAAATCTCCCTATCCACTTCCGTATATTATACTTAGACTAACCCCATTTGTGTGACGGCGATAGTAAGAAGCCAAATACGGTGTTGCAGATGAATTTATTTCATGCATTCACTGATGCAAACAAACATGAGAAATGAAGCGCACAAGCAAAACGAAGCAAATTGGAGAAGGTGAGTGAGCCAACTCTCAATAAGCTGAAGAATTACCAAGTATTTAAATTCAAGCAATAATAGGCTAGATATTTGATAAGCGATAAAGGATCCACACGCAACCAAATATACAATAATCAATACTGTAATCGAATTATTACAAATTCAAAATTATGGTCGATACAATTATCGAAGGATAGGACACACACTACGAAAACCACCTAACTGCGTCACGAGACAAGCCCTCACATGGAACCCTCAAGGCAAAAGGAAAAGAGGAAGGCCAAGGAACATAGTACGCCGAGAAATAGAGAAAGATATGAGAGGAATGAACAAAATTTGGACAGAACTGGAAAGGGAAGCTCAGGACAGAGTTGGCTGGAGAAAACTGATGGGCGGCCTATGCTCCATTGGAGGGTAACAGGCGATAGTAGGTAAGTGTCTATGGTGAGGTTAACTAGGTTCATCAGTGTGTCATGGTAAGGTTTTAAATATTGACAAAGTTATGTTACGGTCTTGCAGAGATTTAAAGTGGTTATGTCCCACCTTAGTCACTTCCTGTTTCAAGCCAAAGCATGTTTTATAAAATTCACCATATCGTGTTTTTAACAGGAAAATAGAATTTAAACTGCTTACCAATAGAATCCTATTTAAAGGTTGACAGACAGCATTTATTACCTACATTAAGATGTATGTAAATATAAAAATTAGTTTATTGAATTACGCTATTTGTTTTGTCGAATTACCAAACTTTTTCAATACTAATCAAAATTTAATATTGAATTTCTTAGAACACAAGTGCCCTTCCCAATTTATGTAATTATTAAGCAGCTATTCAAAGCCATTTGATAAGAGAATATTTGTGTGTAATGCAAAGAAAATTGTTAATTTCTTCTTAGAAATTTATTTATGTATAGAGACAGCTATTGAATTTATGCAACTAAAACTTTCCCTAAGTAAGAACGAACTAAGTTTAATATCTAAAGCCATCACTTGTAAATAACAAGTTGTGGTGTTGTCTTAAAGATTTTTGCACTGATTAAACTCTGTCGAAATCTTGCTAGCATCACTTATCATATTTAATAAAATTTCATTAAAATAAAAATGCTTTAATTAAATTGTAATCGTGTGTAATAATTATTTCAATCGTTAAAAAGATAACTTACTATGTACAGTAGAGTAAGAGATCCAGATGAATATTATAAAAGTTAGAGTTACACAGCTGCGAAACATCTGTCTTTCTGTCAATCAAATAGTAGGCCTTTTTTTTCAATGACGATTGAATGTTAGGGATTGTTCACAAGTTGCTTTCACTTTCTTCTACTTTACTTGTGTGCACTTCCTTGTGTTTAGAAAAATCTTGTTGGTGAGATTAGTGTAGTTGAATAATTTTATGGCTCGTTCACTGAATAATTGACAGGAAACTGTTTTCTTTGCACTAGAACAATAAAAAGAATGATAAAGTATACGAATTAATTCTTTCTTCCGTGGGCCATAGTCTAGAATAACGGAAAACAATATGAAATGCGGGGTAATAAATAATCACGTATTTAACAGTTTATGACGATGGTTACAAAAAAGAATCAAATCAATATGAAACATGTAAATCTATCAGTAACAAGTGACATCATTTTACTTAAACTGAACAACAGCCTAAAAACTACGCATCTACTAATTTGGAACTGATCTTTAGATCAAAATATGATCCTTGTGAAGAGTTATTCAAAATCTAGTTGGGAACGGTTGTTAAATCAATAATAAATTTACTGCCATACGGTTAGCTAGTGTAAACAACATTCGATTGCAGATGTAATGCGTTTGTTTTCAATGAACAGAAATTACTTCGCTAAAGCACGACATATTTTGATACATGATAAAAAAATTTTTTACAAATTTTCAATAGTTTCAAGCAGATTTACTTAGGAGATAGGTTTGACTAATTTTCCAATAGGTTGGAGAAACGTTTAAACCAGCTAGTACTTAACAACTGGTTTAGCTTGCTGTGGCATTTTTCAAGAAATGACATTCTTCATAAAATAAAAAGTTTAAATTTATAGGATTTTGTTCTTGTAATTTAAAAAGATTCAATTCTAAGAAAAACTATTGTATACTGGTTTTAACATTTTTTAAATATGCCAAATTGTTATGAAGATTTGGAAAAAGCACCAGTAACAGATTTTTTTAAATTCAAGTTTAACAATAATTGTTGAATGGGTGCGTTAGATTCGAAATAGGGCTCACCACTTTTGTGGACTGCGTTGAACTTCAATTAGGACTCACAATTTTAGTGACCTGGGCTTGACTCCTATATTCACGAACATTCGAGTATGCTATGAAATAAATCTCACTTTCAATTTTCCTTACATCAAACTCAGGCAAACCCCGTTTGCTCGACGGTAATAATGAGTAGTTAAATACTGAGTTGTTTGGATGAGTTCATTTCAAGCGATCGTTCATGCAGACAAACACGACAATACAGAGAAGTAGAGAAGGCTAGTGGGTCAACTCAATGTAGTGAGGCATGACTAAGCATTATAGTCAGACAAAATAAGCTAGACAAGAAGTAAGCGAGTTAACTGATGCAACAGACAGTCGAATAAAAAAAGCCTTGATAAAAGAGAATGGTCGGTAAGGTCGGAAAATGTGTAAATAATAACTTGGGCTAGAATGTATCAAATGAATTGTCCCACAGGTTTGGAACAGGCCAAGTGGGCTCGACATAAAAGCGCACGCTCTACAAGTAATAGTGGTCAGAAAATGATTTCATATTTATTTCGTATTAGTAAAGATTTGTCTGGTAAGTTTAGGGTTTGATGAACATCAATCCTACTTAAACAAATGTAATTCATAATACTATATTTTTCAAGCCAAATATTTAAAACAGATGATATCTATAGGTCATAGATTTATAATTGCTGATTTAAATGTAATCTATTCTTAAGTGGATATTTAATAGTTCAGTAGTAGTCCAGCTTCACCTATCCGTGCATGATATTCGTCTTCCATAAAGATTCATGATACTAATCCCATAAACTGATTTTATTTTTATATCATAAACCTTTTTGAAAATATCGATTTTATAGCATCATACAACAGAAAATCAATCTATACACTTACTTTGTAGTATTATTCTGTCTTAAACAACAAGGGTTTCATACTTGCATATGTATGTTTAGTGAATTATGTATGATTTTACAAAATCTTATCATAAAATATTTTCCAACAATGAATTATTTAGAGTTATATCATACGCCTATTTCCTCTAATAGTTGTTTAGACAGATAGAACAAACTTTGAAGAACGCGGTGATTTCTTTTTGTTCTGGTTTTTATTGGTGGTCTCATTTAGTTTAAATTTAAAAGAAATAACATGGTTAAAAAAGAGCGGTTGGTGTACTTTAGTTTATAATATTGAGAGTAAAATGCAAAGCAAGACAGCTATTTAGAATCGTGAGACTGGGAAAATGGTGTTAATCATAGTGTTGTATAAGATCGAGCTTTATCAGTCGGAAATGAGCTGACTAACAATAATATACGAAGTGAGAATAAGTGATTACATAATTAGATGACAAAACCAGGATAAGCTCGTGAATAGTTAAAATCCGATTAAATAATACGTGAAACGTATTGAATAGAAAGTGAACAGTTCCTGAGTCCAATACGTAAGTGAAATTATGAATTTTTCTGTTTTGCAGTTCTGCACTCGACAATTCATACTGTCATCAGCTTTGAAGGTTTGAGGAGATTAATGAATTTTTGTAGTTCCTTTCATCAACCAAACTTAACAAAAAAATTACTGAAAACCAAGAAGCAGTGGATAGCTTTTCCATCCTTGTGGATTTTATTTAAACTAAGATGAAACACTAATCCAGTGCTTCATGATTTTCACTGGCTGACTACCCCAAGGTCAACCAGTTCCGTTAACAATAAAAAAGTACTTTTTATTCCGGAAAAATCTGAATCACTCTGTGTTTTGAAAATAACCCTATCATTTCGCTTGCCCATTAAAAAACAATAAAATGAAGGGCGGCGTAACCGACCTCAAGTTAATTTCTTTTACTTATCAAAACATAACGTGGAACGATTAGTAAAGATGAGTGTTGGCTAGCATTGGAATCCTGGACTCACGTTTCGTCCCATTCAGGACTCCTCAGCTGGACGAATATGAATCTCAGAGTCGATGTTTGCTTCAAGACCCGGACCCAGTACTATTCCCTTCAAACACCATGGCGTTATTTACATAGCTGCTTTAGACCTTAGAAATGGGGTGAAGTTTAAGACATTCACATTGGTAGTTTGAATATTCCTCTTGATATTAAAGAGTGCCAGTGATGGTTTGAAATTCTTCGCTTGATTTTCTTTCCAGCATTACCAGTCAAAAAATAAATATTTTACAGTTTATTTTCATTACTTTTATAGACATCTAAACTCCATTATGTTCATTCGCTTTAATCCCTTTTTGATGTAGTAAACGGAATAGTGCATATAGAAATTTTATTCTTGAATAAAACTATTCGGACAATAATTCTTATGACGAATAAGCAATACTAAGACTGATTAACAGTCTAACACTGATAATGAATACTAATGATATCGTCACCGATTATTTTCTAAAAGATAAAGGATTATTTATGTAAATAAAAACTTGTAATCTGAATTAATTTATTGTAAACAGTAAACAATCTATACTATCATCGATGAAATGACGTCTTTATGCATAAAATTTGGGTTATGTTTATGTTAGCATGAGAAAAAAAATAATTTGATTTTTATTTTATGAAAACGACGAGCTTGAAGGATTATTACATTAAGCCTTAAGAGAAACTGTTATTTCAGAATGATTAGATTTTAGTTACTCAGATTGTTGATTAATCACGACAAAAATATTTAATTGGTGATTAATTCTTAGATAAGAAATATTTAAATCAATAAAGCAGCTTTCCATAACCACTATATTCATCTCAGATTCCCCTACTCACTAGTTAGTTAATGAATGAAAAGCATATACTAAACTGAACTACTCACAGACCACTGTCAAAATTTTTACATACTTTTAATAATCTAATTTAACGTTGTGTGCAATGTAGAATCAAGAGTGAGCATTGTGTCTTTATAATAAAATTTAAATTAAGCAGGAAATTACTCTAAATCTTTATCTGCTTTTGTAGAAATCACAAAAAAACCTAGTTTATGATCCCCAATCTCTGTCTTGAAAGAAAGTATTCATGTGAACTTAGTGAATTGGTACACGGTAAAATGTAATTAATGAACTATGTATACACCTTAAAAGTTTTTGGAAGTGTAGTTCATGTCAAAAAGCATGACTGAAGAGACATAAGGTGATTGGTTATCGCATTAAGTTGCTTCAGAGATGAAGAGATCACCGACAGTCTAGGGCTTGGATTTCCTTTTGATTGTTTGGAGCAGTTCTACATAGAAAATGAATTAAACCTCCACTAACACTTCCTCATACATCCATTGCCAAATGACCAAGCTCAGTGTTTTGTCGATACTTTTAAGCAAGCTGTGCTAAGAGCAGACATCTATGGTATGCTATTCTCTGTCCTCTCATAAGATTGATCTTTTCCAAATCCAGTCGTTTCAGGCGTGAAATCTGACCAGCTCTTAGTAACCTGCAGCTGCGAAATGTGACCAGTCGATTACGTAGATAGTCCATTAATTTGGTGAATTCAATTGAATGAGCAATTGTTAGCTAAGTTTAAAACCAAGTCAGATTATGGAGACACGAAATCAGTGAACGAAGAACTGATAGCATTTCATACACTTGTTCAGTGTATCTCGAACATGAAAACAGAATGTAAACCAGATCAAACAAGTCATCAGTAAAGGCAGGAGGATTGAATCGCACTTTCCAGTTGAACTCTAAATAATTATGAATGAAGTAAGAGTATACACTAGTTAATTTTTACTCAGTTAAATTTTATCTTCCCTACTTTATAGAATAATGTATCAAAACAAAATTCAAGTAACTCATCAATACTTCAAGTTCTTGATGAATATGATGTTTATCTAAAAATCCTAGCTTTTTACTTTCATGATATTTATCTTTTTAAGTATAACTGAGCTAAATCTTCCCACTTCTATTTAATGAATTCAAAACAAAAACGGACATTGCATGTGTATTTTTATTCAAACAATCTTTTACTTAATTATATAATAATGATCAAAATATCCACCAAAGATGATAATATTTTTTAGTCAAGTTTATGAGATACAGTTCACATTGCCTGCCAAATGCATGAAAACAATAAATAAGTGGACAAACAAATCTATTTCAGGATTGTTATTGTTTTTTTCTTATGATCGTTTAGGAAAGTTTGGTTGCATTAATTCAAAAAATCTATTATGAAGAAACTTTTGCATAAACAATGATATATATATATATATATATATATATATATAAGCATGGGATGGAGTT